TGCCCTTTTTTTTTTTTTTTTTCCTGCCAAAATTTCAAGAAAGCAAAAAACAACAACGCCCCTCAGTTCATTACTAATACAAGTTCCAGATTGGGTCCAGTGCCCCTCGTCATGATTTTTTTTTTGTTTTTTTTTTTGTTTTCTTCAAAAAGGAAAATCTTATTAGGCGATAGATCTGCTAGAACGGGGGGGGAGGGGGGGAGGGAGATGATGAATGATAATGAATTCTCATTATCAGAAGGGATTAAAAAAAAAAAAAAAAAAAAAACTGCTAGATTTGCACGATCTATATGGCAGTCTGTTCAGGACTGCAGAGGTGGTTTGATCCTACCGATTTAAAAAATTGAAATTTTTTGAAGTTCGATTTTCTGTATAAGGGACGCTGGACATTGTCTCAAGATGTCAGACTCTGCAGAAAAGGTCCAAACCGGAGATCCCCACGACACTTTTATTTCTACTGACAAGGGATGGGCAAGCAGCCCCATGCTTGTGGAACCATAAAGCCCCACGGGGCCACGCCGCAGTAGCATGGGGCGGCTTACACAGTCTCAGCTTCCAGTGTAGATATTCGATGATATGGAGCAAGTCTCTTTTAAGCAGCCCCATGCTTTTGGAACCATAAAGCCCCACGGGGCCACGCCGCAGTCGCATCGAGCGGCTTACACAGTCTCAGCTTCCAGTGTAGATATTNAGCAGCCCCATGCTTTTGGAACCATAAAGCCCCACGGGGCCACGCCGCAGTCGCATCGAGCGGCTTACACAGTCTCAGCTTCCAGTGTAGATATTAGACGATATGATATGGAGCAAGTCTCTTTTGATCCTGTGTGGAATACATGCTGTGACGACACCACATCTGATTCATTCCTTTGTCTCGATTGATGCCAAGTACCTTTGCTGTGAGGGATTCGTAGAAATAAGCCCGGGCCTCTCAGGGATTCGTAGAAATAAGCCCGGGCCAAAGTACTGTTGCTCTGAGGGATTCATAGAAATAAGCCCGGGGCTTCGAAAGGTTCAACACTGCTGTGCCTATAAGTAGTAGGATAGAAGTGGTGGACCATAGATCTCCCCATTGCCGAGGCACGACCGCGATGTTTCTTTTTTTTAAAAAAATAGAAAAAAATAAAATAAAATAAAAAAATTCGCCTGCAAGTGTGCCCAGACATGGCTGGCATTTTTACATGAAATCCAGATAGTATGCTGGTCTTCCACAAGATGGGAGACTGAGTAGAAAGGCGTGCCCTGTTTCAGACGGCGGTACAGAAAAAGCAGCAGTGGGGATCATGCATGGCATTGTGCAATATTTGCCAAAGCAGCCTGTGGAGTGTTTTGGCCCTCGTTTAGCCATGCGGATAAAATAATGCCCCCACACGTAAGTGACGGGCCTCGACACCTTGGGCACCCAGCAGCAGCAGGGTGAGAGTCTGAGGAGAGAGACTTGAGAAGAACAAAGGGGACAGTAGCAATCGATTTAAAAAAAATAAATAAAATAAATAAATAAATAAATAAACAAAATTCAAACTCGAGTCCCTCAGCAGTACCAGGGCCGCTCCCCAGATTCATACTCAAGATCTTGAGAGGCATGACTCAAACTTGGATTGTTAATGTCAATTCTGAGACGCTGGACCCCGTTTCCAGAAACTGCCTTTCCCCACCAATAGATGGAGCCTCCGCTCTAATGAAGTCTTTTTAAAAAAAAAACAAGAAAAAAAAAAAAAAGGGATGGAAGCAATCGCCAAAAAGCCGTTAGTCAGTCCGTCTGTAAGGAAGGTATATACTATATATCCAATCCAAGTACACGCCACTTTTTAACAACACTCCAGTCAACGGCTTTTTACCGGATGCATTTTTTACTAACACTCCAGTCAACGGCGTTTTGGAGATTGCTCCCTTCATTTTAGTCAAAATCCACATCTGGTAAAAGCCGTTGACTGGAGTCAGTGGAGTGTTGTTAAAAAGTGGCGTGTACTTGGATCCACAGTATATCCAAGTGCATGGCAAAAAGCCGTCAGTCAACATCGACATCCGGTAAAAGAATTGTGTGGTTTAAAAGGAAGGAAGCAATCGCCAAAAAACCGTCAGTCGTTCTGTGAAGCAGAACTGTGTATACCCCCGTACAAAAACGAGTCCTTTGTACGTTCGAACGGCCGTACGAACGGCCCCCTCGGCGGTCGTATGGCCCGTGCGAACGGCCATTCGAGCCCAAATGGAGGGGCCTTTTAGGGGGGGGAGGAGCATTTTGAGGGGGGCGGGGGGAGGACGCATGTCTGCCATTGTCTGGGGCCAACCCCCAGATGAAAACAAAATATTATTATTATTTTTTTGGGGGGGATGGGGTTGGGATAAACCAAAAAAAAAAAAAAAAAAGATTGATTGATTAATCGATTGATTGATCGATTGACTGATTGATTGATTCAATTCAATTGATTGATTGATTGATTGATTGATTGATGGGGGGAGGGTCGCCCCCCCACCCCTACCACACACACACACACACACACACACGCACACGCACACACGCACACGCACACGCACAGACACACAGACACACACACACACACACACACACACACACTCACTCATGCCCCGCACACACACACCGTGACACACGCTCGCGAACACAATGATGAAAATGTAACTGAAATTAATAAATTATCTGAAAAAACGCAATAACTCATTACTAAATTTAACCTTTGCAAAACAATAAAAAGAAACAGAAGAAGACCAATGAGACATTACTCTATCCTACTCCATCACAAAAACGTTTCAAAAACGCCTTCGAAATTCTGCCATGGCCCATGTGGCATTTCTATCGCTAGCAGGCAAGATCCTCTCTCTCTCTCTCTCTCTCTCTCTCTCTCTCTCTCTCTCTCTCTCTCTCTCTCTCTCTCTCTCTCTCTCTCTCTCTC